CAGCGTTCTAACCGCTAGACCACCGTGGCTCCTTCCAGAGCGTTAGAAGAGTATAAAAGCGACAATCGAGTGAGAATTATTCTTTATACAGCTTTGAAATCGGCCACAATCGAATATCGCCGCTTTCCTGTTCAGATATAAGATAAGAAGTGATATAGGCGTACATAAAGCAAACTTCAAAGTTTAAAATGCTGGTTAAAAACATAATTCGTCAAGCACAGCTAATTAACACTAAAATATCGTCACAATATCCGTTGAAACGAACGGAGATTCATAACGTGCATGTTTTCCTGCAATGAACCGTGTAGTAACACGGGCTAGCTGAGAGGTCAAAACTCATCACTAGCCTCCACCTGTTGCAAACCCTAAGTTGCATTGCAGCCAGAGGGGGTGACTGAACTCAACCACTTCTACCACAGGTTGCAAATGTCTTCACTCCCTGCTCTAATTCCCCCGGAAGTGGCGACGGGTAGCGTTAGCTGCTACAACCCTGCTCGTAGCAGTAGCAAAGAATTAGAATATTTTATTCAACCTAACCTCCGTATCTGTATCCGAGATGGAATGACGTTTTGTCTGGTTCGATCGCCCCTAACCTAGGACCAGGAGCCACGGTGATCTAGCGGTTAGAACGCTGGTCTTGTAATCCTGGGGTCTCGGGTTCGATTCCCGGCGGTGCCCGAATTTATAACTTGTGTTGGGCAAGGCCGTGGTCTAGGCAACACCGAGTTTTCCTCCGTGGCATCCCAACAATTACTCCATTCACACACAGAAGAAGGCAATGGCAAACCACTTCTGGATCATCTGCCAAGAACGTATATGAACAGGTCCCAGTCCGAGAAAAGGATGGAAGGATCCTGTTCATATGGACCTGTCGTCAGACAGAACACTATAAAAAACTTGAATAAATACTTGAGGTACACTCACAGTATTCGTGGGAGACACTTCAAGAATAACGACAAATCAAATGTAGTCTACTTGCATCAAATGAAATGGCATGACAATATTTTCTCCATTGAAGATAATAAAAGCAAGGCAGTGAAATATTTTATGTAAGAACGAGACACAATAAGAAATTAATATCACCCAATCAAAAACAAATCTTAATGGAAATAACCAAACCTTACAGACACTCCTATTTACGTAAATTACCTCTGTTCTTAAAATTTTTAAAAAGCAAATTCCACTCGAAATCTAACTTTGACACACAACAATTCTGAAGACATCCAATATTTCGTAGCTAATTAATAACCGTTTTAATTTACATTAACACCGTACTTAATAAAAGTAATACAAAATACAAAATGGTTCTTAACGAAAATACTGACAGCAGAACCTCCAGATAATTCAATGTAATCTAATATAACCACGGAGAAAATTCCCTGATCAGTGAATGTCCTGGTACCGTATCATTGGCCCATAATATTATATGACTAAGCGTTTTCGGTAATGCACGTGGTTCCATTCCTTGTTAGTAACAACGTTCTCCTTTCAGATGGTCACAAGGGCTGTTGTTCCACCAAGCTCTGGTGGACTGTGCGCGGGCCGCCATATTAATACCACTGGGAATTAGCATCTTCAGGTGCCAGCCCGTCAACAAGTGTTCTCTGGTAGAGACGGCATTTCTACTTCTGGTAACCGTGTCGACAGTCAACATGCTCACTACAGTGCTCAACGACTCGCCAGTGTTCCCCCAGGGCGACGAGGACGAGGCAGACCTCACGGCCCCTCTCCTGATGGACTCTCCGCAGTGCGTCTTATTCGGAACTTTTATGATATGGTTCGCGAGTATCACAATCAACCTCGGGCCTACATTCTTAAGCGGGGCGCTAGCAGCTAACTCAGAGACCGGGCATAATGCCCCGAGCTGCCCACTGGTACATGGACCTTTCAGGCACTACGTGCTTAACGTTCTGTGGATAGTAATCAACGCTATCTGTGTTGTGTTAACACTGTTTCATTTACACAAGTTGCATAGAGATCTGACCAAAGCGAACGTCGAAGCTGTGCGGGTTGCAGAACTCGTGACGACGCTGGTCAGCGTCACTTCTGGTTCTTCAGCGCTACGCCATGGAAACGAAGCTACGGAGCGGGTAAGCGAACATAAAAGATTCCAAATAGTCGGGTTTATCGTCACTGCATAACAAGTGGTACTTCGTCGGGGCTCGGGGCGGTCGAAAGTCAAACACACGACAAAGGGTCGGGCTGGGGGCACGTGTTAACACTGCTCTAAAAATATCCAGTGCCTACGGACAGTACAGAACCCTGTTTAAAGTCTGTGTTCAGAAAGGCTGCGATGCGCATTGTTTCGTGCCTGATATTGTTAACGGCAGTATTTGAATCCAAGAGACAAATTTTACCCGATTCATGTAACTGTGTTGCTTGACGATCGAAGGGTCTTTGGTCCCTAAACCAATGGGAAAACTAATTCTTCCCAGTCCCATCTATTCACGGTTGTCGGTGATAATATTCTGCGTTGAAACGCCGTGTGGACGTGTAGGTAGATACCAACGTTTTGGTGAAATATACTGTTTCCACCTTTGGGGGTGAAGTTGATAGAGGGAGTGTTCCTCCGAAACATTTGTATCTACCGAGAAGTCTAGACGGCGTAAAACCCATAGTACCAACATCGACATCTCAACCGCCGTGAGAACGCTCGTCATCATCGACAGAGGTTCGGCCATTTTTAAAACGTGAATGCCACACAAAAGTTTGTGCACGACCCATTGCGGACTCCCCAAATGCTTGCTTTAGCATTTCATAGGTTTCCGTAGCCGTTTTGGCGAGTCTTTGGCAAAATTTGATTTGTTCATGAAAATCCGCCATTCCGAAATCGCAGGAGGGTCGGTGTAATGCACTAACAAAACGCCCGTAACTAAGAAACAAATACTAATTCGATGATGCCGGCTGGCACACTGATTCACTATGAATGTAGGCCGCACCCCCTAGCGGCAGAAGCTCCTACTACATCCGGTTCGCCCTCTATTGACACAGTCTGTAAACTTTCCGATCGCACCTCGTACATGATTTTATGTAGGATTTCACCGTATGTCCGTCTGTCCCAGAATCCAGTCAGGCAGACAATGGAGTTTGGGGTTTAATAATCTATTTTATTAGTGGTTTATTAAACGATGCTGCCATTATCTAAGATTAAAGATAGTCGAATGACAGGCTGATTGATGAATAATGAATTTGAAAAAAAAAACACGACAGAAAACGTCTGTGGCCTAATTTACGATCCTACAGCGGCGTCTGTCTGAAAAACAGATAAAAACAGGAAATCATCAGTCTGGATAGCCGGTCCTCGGGACACAAAGTAGAATTTTGTAACAGTTCATTTCTGCGGTGGTAAGTACTCGAGTGCTGTAATCTTTGATCACAGATCTTCTTCTACACACTGATAATTTCCTTATGTCGTGGTTTCGAAATCGAAAACGTACCATCAATTTATCTATCGCGTTGTACTGCAAAGAAACTCTCATCGCTTTGTTACTATCATCGTCATCATGAAATTGCCCAACACTGCTTCAAAGTGCAAATATGTAGGAACGGTATTAACAAACAGAAATAAACAATTCTAAAAATGCGAGTTGTAAATACGTTCAAATAATTTTTATCAATAAGATTATTACACGAAACACTGAAAGTCAGAACCTCGTTTCTATACAGACACTGAGAGGGACTTCGGGGATTTATCTAGGGGAAATGCCGGCTTCATAATTTGTGCTCCTAAGTAAATACAAGTCGGGTGAGAGAAATGAATAAACAGGAACAGGTGGGAAACTCAAAAGGAAGAAACAGTTCAGAAGACAGTATAATATTAAAATGTATGTTAAAGAAATTCTGTACTCCTCCCCCAATATTGTCAGGGTGATTAAGTCGAGAAGAATGAGATTGGCGGGGCATGTAGCGCGCATGGATGGGACAAGAGGTGTGGAAGCCTGAGGGGAAGAGACCGCTGGGGAGACCTAGACGTAGATGGGAGGATAATCTCAGGCGGGATCTATGGGAGATAGGAGTTGGAGGAGACTGGATTTTGTTGGCCCAGGACAGGGTCCGGTGGAGGGCTTTGGTTAATTCGGTGATGAACCTTCGGGTTCGGTAAGCCATCTGGTTGGTTGGGTCCACTATTTGGGAAGCCTGAGGGGAAGAGACCGCTGGGGAGACCTAGACGTAGATGGGAGGATAATCTCAGGCGGGATCTATGGGAGATAGGAGTTGGAGGAGACTGGATTTTGTTGGCCCAGGACAGGGTCCGGTGGAGGGCTTTGGTTAATTCGGTGATGAACCTTCGGGTTCGGTAAGCCATCTGGTTGGTTGGGTCCACTATTTGGGAAGCCTGAGGGGAAGAGACCGCTGGGGAGACCTAGACGTAGATGGGAGGATAATCTCAGGCGGGATCTATGGGAGATAGGAGTCGAAGGAGACTGAATTTTGTTGGCCCAGGAGGGCTTTCGTTGATTCGGTGATGAACCTTCGGGTTCAACTGTTTTAAGGAGCAGCCATGGACGTTCTCCGCAGGCAGAAACACACTATCAAACCCCGCAAATGGAGGCTTCTCATGGGGTAGACAGTAATAAAATGGACCACTAGCGAATAAAATTAAAAGGTTTCCTTCTCATATTAGTACAACACGCCTCGAAACGTCTTTAGTAGCCACTGAGACTCGAAACGAGAAACTTCTTGCCACAGAATGGTCGTTACCGAACGAACTCTACTGTAAGTTAAAATCCTAAGACTCCAACGGTTCCTGTGTTCGAATACAGTTCAAAAAAAATGGCTACAGGTATGTTAATGATTTACACACTGCTTATTACACCGAGTAAACGCAGAATTGCGTCCAACGTGTTATGCAGTATAATCGTTACACACTCTTACATGAAAACTGCATTCTTTATTTCATAATTACAGTGGGTGTTAGAACTGGTGTCCTTCTTGGGTTAGACACGCCAATGAACGCCGTTCTTCTATTTTTCATCCTACGCCATGGAAGAGACGTTAACAGGCTGTGCGGGACGGCATAACACGACAAATCCAGGGCACTTAACGGTTTCAAAGAACTGTGGAGTGCGGGTGTAGACCGGATTCATTTAGCTCTCGACTGGGACCTCCGGGTTCGATAAAATATTACAAATTTCTGCAGTACCTCAGCGACTACATATTTCATTAAATTCTGACGAGATAAGTCAATTAAAAGATCGATACTCAGGAAATCAGCTATTAAAGCAATACGATAATACTTTATTTATATTTTATTTAGTGTTCTGTCTGAGGACAGGTCCATATGAACAGGATCCTTCCATCCTTTTCTCGGACTGGGACCTGTTCATATACGTTCTTGGCAGATGATCCAGAAGTGGTTTGCCATTGCCTTCTTCTGTGTGTGAATGGAGTAATTGTTGGGATGCCACGGAGGAAAACTCCGTGTTGCCTAGACCACGGCCTTGCCCAACACAAGTTATAAATTCGGGCACCGCCGGGAATCGAACCCGAGACCCCAGGATTACAAGGCCAGAGTTCTAACCGCTAGACCACCGTGGCTCTATAAAATAATGCAATGCAGCACATTCATATTACAACACGCAGGTACCTGAATCTTCAGGCAAATATTCCTCCCGGCTTCTAAGCATTCCTCAGAAGCGTCAGGACAATAATAAATGTCTATTTTCTGTACAGCCTCGTGAGAACTGTGGAAGCGGGGCAATTGGCGAGCAACGACGCATGCGCAACTACTTGCGTCGAATGGAACGAGAAGGAGTTGAGAGAGTGAAAATGTTCCTGGTCATTACCACCGCCTACATTCTTTTCTGGGGTCCGCTCTTCTTTGTCACACTCGTCCATCATCCTGCCCTAGGAAACCAACTTGGTTACGAGGTATTTGACACCGTCTTTGCATTTAACAAAACTGAGAGGTCTAATTCCTAAAACAACACAGCAATAAGGAAAAGTAAAGCTGTCACGCTGTACGCCATGTTAGGTGCTTGGGAGGGGAGGAGACGTAGCTCCTACTAATTCTTAACCTCGGCGCTAGATGAGGTGAGTGGTCAGCGTCACGACCTGGACGCAGAGGCTAGAGGAAAAAAATCCTCTGTCCCTCTCGAGGATCGAACCCCGGGTCGTCCAGTCACTGAGTTACGCCGAATTAACGAAAAAACAATAAAATGCAGTATATAGTAGCAAGTCATCGCTGTGATTTGTAAGAATGATTTAACACCGAACGTCTCAGGCCAGTATAACTCTCCTGCCTTGTATACGGTAGGTCCTGGGTTCAAATCTAGGCCCCTAGACGTGCCACTCGAATGTTTTGAGAGTTTTCTCACTCTCCCAATGCAAATTCTGATGTTGTAACTTAAATTAAGCCACGAATTATTATTTTATATCGTTTTTAAATCAATACTCGTTAAATTATACTAACATTTGATGCAATATAGTTGTTAAATAAAGAATAAATAAATAAATATAGTGGTTTATCAGCCATAGATACAGAATAACATAATCTTTAAATATCTGTAATAATTATAATGTAACTGGAGTTACAATGTTTAACGAAAATAAACCGGCCTGCTTTCCTGGCGAGATGACAACGCCACCTTGGATCTGAATTAAATTTTGTAAGCCTACCGATTCCGAAAAGTAACATAAAACTCCTCGTTCCAATTTTAATTTCCAAGTTGTTGCATATTTAAGTTTTGAACTTTCCTTATATTTTTCCCTAAAATGCGTATAACGCGGGACCTAATTGAGGTAAAAACCTTATTCTTGCACCAAGTTAAAGATTTTTAAGTGGGTCTATACTCTGATATGCTGTTCATAATATTTTATAGCATACTGCCATTTTGGTCGTGACCTTTGACCTTACTTACTGGTAAACGCACAGCCATATTTAATTAATTTTCCCCGAATTTTTATGATTTTTGAGTACGCTTTGCATGAATGGGTTGATGAGGTACGTATTTTCTTTACAACTAAGGGTTACACACGTTGAAAGTCACTTTTAATTAACTGCATACGTAATATAACATTATTAAGAAAGGCAACACAAATATCCCAGTGTCGTTCACGTATTCTTGAGTTTCTGATGACTGTTCTTTTTTTCAAGTAAGCAGGCTTATTCATTACGACATTAAAATTAATTTTTCATTTATGTAAGAACACCCGATAAAGAGGTTAAGTCACGAACAATACAAATTAACAGTCGCATATGTTAGTTTCAAAGACTTAAAGAGAATCACCTGAAGATGACTAATTAAAGTCGAAACATGTAGTGGTTTCTTAATAAACACTGAAACGAAAATCAATAATTCATATGTAGATGGCCTGTTAACCTAACGTCCAACACACAACAGGCATTACTGGCATTCACACATAAGAACCCACATATTTTCATAATTTTCATGTCCCAAGATGATATTTTCCAGAGAAGCATTGAAACCATTACGAATTGCTATGGGAAACAAAATTTGAATGACGCACAAAGGTCAGAGTTAAAATGTTGATATGTACCAAAACATTGTGAGTAGCTTACGAAATAGATTCCCCCACTTGCGAACATGAAATTGGAAAATGAATGAGTCCTGTAACTCGATTAAGAATTGACGTATCAGAGATTTAGTGAACGAGAAGATGAAATTTTATGGAAAATTTCAAAACGCTGTATCACGGAAATTAATTGACACAGAGAAAATAAAAATGTAATTTTCGTCAATTCGTTTAACACAAGCACGAAAATTTGCCACAAAAGTTTGTTGATTTAACACGGAGTGATCACATTATAAGTACCTTCGCAGACGGGAGTTCAGTTTTCTAGTAAACATTTCCCTGTTTTCCAGATAACTCTTCACGTGGCGTACCTACACGCATTTGTCAACCCTACACTCTTCATCGTGCTTCACCGCGGTCTGCGACAAGCCGCTCTGGACCTATGCTGCAGCTGCTGTGCCTCGTGGAACACGTGGTTCCTCAACATTACTTCCAGCAGCATCACCGATGACCCCACATTGCTACCACCACCACCACCCCAACCTCCGACGACGGCATTTGGACACATTTCGTTATTAGATCCACCATTACCTCCTGCTAACAATATACCTCAACTGGTAAATCGCACGTATATGTGAGTAGCATGTCGGTAAGCCCCTCGCACGTGCATTATGCATGCATGCAGTCTGTGGCCGTTCGTCGTCATACCAGAGAACGTAATTCCTAATAAATTCCAGTTCTGACAACCTGACTCGCGCGACGTCTTCCAGTTGGCAACGATACTGAGCTGACGTACGTCTGTTCAGAACATCTGACCTTACGGGTTCCAGAAAATTTCTGTAATATTTTGAGTTGATCCTCGAAGAGGACTCTTGCTTTGTAGCGTTTATTTAAGACGGCAGATTTAGGAACGCAAACTAGACGTGTGCAGACCGCAAGGCGCCATGTCTACACGTCACGAATTTAAAGTTTTAACGATGAATGAAAACAAAGTTGGAGAACATTTGCCCCGCACGGAAATTAACCATCATTTCAACGACTGCTTGTCACGGCAGAGCTTAGTAACCGGAACGACATCTCCTGTAATATGTTTACAAAGAAATCATTGGCAACACTGAACAGATACAAAAATAATTGAAACAAGTAAAAGAGTCTTTATTTCTAATAGATAAAATTAATGTTCTTTTTAAGTTTCAAAGGCTTCGTTCACTCGTCCTTATGATAAGAACAATGACAATTAAAGTCTTAGAATGGTAAGAAGTGATAATTTGGGACAATGGAATTTTAGGCTTCGAGTTAATTTGTGGTAAGACAGGTAATTTTTTTTTTATTTATTGTTCTGTCTGACGACAGGTCCCTATGAACAGGATCCTTCCATCCTTTTCTCGGACTGGGACCTGTTCATATACGTTCTTGGCAGATGATCCAGAAGTGGTTTGCCATTGCCTTCTTCTGTGTGTGTGAATGGAGTAATTGTTGGGATGCCACGGAGGAAAACTTCGTGTTGCCTAGACCACGGCCTTGCCCAACACAAGTTATAAATTCGAACCCGAGACCCCAGGATTACAAGGCCAGCGTTCTAACCGCTAGACCACCTTGGCTGAAATAATAGTAGTAGGAGTCAGTTTATTTTGTGGTTGAGGTGTTGTATTGTCGCTATGTTCTGTCTGCCCTTTTTTATCCTACGAACGTGGAGCGAAAACAAATTTACAGTCCTCTTTCCTTCGTTCATCGATCGAAATTCCACAGGGAACGTCCGTTCAACTTCAAGCTATGACGATAAGAAAATATATGGATTGTCGTCTTTTCTGTCGTGACTTAAGTGTGCCGTTGAACGCTACAGCAACGCTCCGGAAAGACGTATATTCTGAAGACGGAAGCGATGTATTTCTCCGAAACGTCGCTAACTATTACAATACTGTGTAAGATTTGAGGTTTTCACAGCGGTGAGTATGAAGATTTCTGTCTTCTGGGTT